GTCGTATTTTAATTGGTTCGTTTTCGTGTTAATGAAAAAAAACACGACATCGTGTCGTGACGTGTTCGTGTTATACAAAACGTTGTCGTGTCGGACAAAAAACACGACACGGTTGCCCGATTTGACAGCCCTAGCTACAGTATTGGGCTTGGGCCGGTTTTCAGGTCCGAAATGACCATTTCTTGACCAAAAGGTTAGTTTTCAAAAAAAAAACTTGGTGATATTTTTAAAAAAACCCAAAAAAATGGTTAGATTACTCAATTTTCCTAATATTTTTTTATAAAATTGTTAACAGTTAACTAATAGAATAAAATCAGTGATTCGGTGAAGCTACCGCCTATATTTTAATGTCCGTGTTTTATTTCTAGATTTCGGGAAAAAAAAGTAAGGAAAACGCATTAAAAAATAATTATGAACAAGACAATTAGTAGTTGATTTGGATAATCGTTTTGACCCAACATATGAAAATCATGGATCCGCCATTCTACTAGCTCGTTTGAAAATTATATTTATATTTATTTCATACTATTATATCTAATTATATATATATATATTATATATATATTATATTATATATCTATATATATATTATATATATATATATTAAAGTTGTTGTGAAGAAAAAGAACAGTAAACTGAGACATTTTTGCCAATTTTGGTCCCTTAAATTACTTTTTCGGTCCCTCCATTTTTGTTTGTGTGTCACTTTGTATAAAATTGGGTTAAAGGGGTTAAAGCTTTTCACTTCTTCCCGATCCTTCCACTGTCTCATCTTCGAACTTCCCTCACCGATTCTCTCACCCGATATCTTCCCGATTGTTCTATCTATCCATCCACTTTTGAACCATCTCCCTTCTGCACAGCTTCACCTCTCTTCGCTTCTTCAAGAAAATCGGCCTACTCCTCAATTGTCGGCCCCCACAACGGCGATCTGTCACCGATAACCACCAGTTTTTGGTTCCTCTTACCACTCCGGACCATCATCTGTCCTCCGATTCAACCCCACCATATCCCTCTCGGTCTACCACATCCTTCCTTGTCGGCACCCATAGAGAATTTTGAACATTCAAAACCTTCACGACGAAGAAGACGAAGAATAATCGAAATCATCTGCTCTGTCGGAATTTCAAAAAATCCTACACCACCGGTGCTACGAGAGTACTCATCGGAACCCCATATAGGTAATATTTTACATATTATTTACGCTCAAATCTCGATTATTTCTCCAAATCCTAATGATTTACTATTTTTTTTACTTTGATTTGTTGTTTCTTCTATTAATATGAAAGTTTCTTTGGTATGTAATTTCTTTCTTTCAGGTTAAAATAGGAATACAATTGTATTTGAAGGTATAATGCCCTAATATGAAGAAAAAAAATCACCGACTTTGTCATCTAATCGACTGTGAATGAGGTAGGTATCGGGTTCCTTTCGATTTCCCTCCACCTGCTGCAAAATGGTTTCTTGATTTTAGTTTAATCAATCTATTTTTTTCCGGGTTCATCTGGAGTGTACATAGAACTAGAGGATCCCCAACTTTGGGTTGTAATTGGTGTCGCAGGTGAAATCTAATGTAAAAATCTAAATTGTGATTTTCAGCAGGAAAATAAGTTAGGTAAAGACACGGAACAATTGGAGAAGTTTCTAAGATTTTATCTTGCCAATACCGCCAATACAAACAACAATCCAACTACAATCCAACTGGATAGAAAGAATATGCATAGGCACCAATTAACAATGATCAGGTATATATATATTATATTATTATATATATATATATATATATATATCTATATATATATATATATATATATATATATATATTCTTTGTTTTATCTTTTTGGTTTGGATTGTGATGGTTTTTATTAATGTTGAATATTATTTTTGTTTATAGTTAAAGGCACTTATTGCTGATGTAGAAAGGGCAAAGCTTTTAAGAAACTTGCGATTCAGGTTATGTCCATTAACTTAACTGTCTTCTGTCGAGTTTAGTAAATGATCTGAGTTTAGTTTAATGTTTGTGTGACTATGCTCTCTTTAATTCATGGTGGTTTTCAATTTCGACCATTAACTTTTTAATTTTTTTTTATGTAATTGTGTTTATAACTCTATAGCTGTTGATTTCTTTAATTAAGTTGATCTCCTTTAAACTCTATTTAATATCCCTCTGCAGCAGATTCAAAGAGTAAATTCATCAAAAAAAAATTGATTGTGTTTGAATTAGAGTCATATGCATGACTTTCTTGCGGAAGCAAAAGTTGTGGTTTAAGGATGAATATTGATTATTCGGATCATATTTTTAATGTACTCCATATATTGCATCTCATCTTCCCATTTCGATTCTAATTTCAAGCTTTATTGTAGTATTTTTAAACTTTTATGAAAATTCTCGACTGTTGAGTCTGTTTTATAGGTTTTGAAATGTTAAATCAGCATATGTCCAAATGTTTTGTATTGCAGGTTGTGCTCTGGAAAAATACAATCGACTGCTCTCTGTATTTCAACACCGGTTCTATTCATTATTCCAAATTCTATTCACTAGATTAGAAGTACAATGTTGCCACCATCATTGACTTATTTGCAAGTAATCATCATCCCACGGGTTAATATTTCAGCATAAATATGAACCGATGTTGGATTTTTTGATCTAATATTTGTTTTAAATGGCTCCATTTTCGGTTAGTGGCATTTATTTTTGGGTCTAATCACATCGGTTTTAAAAAACCAAACATTGACTGTAATTCTGTTTTTAACTTCTTAGTGTTCTGGGATTGATACATAAAGATATTCCACCCAAGATTAAATATAATACATATTAAATTAGAACTTTATCCATAAGGATTCCAGATCCCCAAATTTTTAGCATTTTATACCTTTTTAAGTCCTGACACCAGTTTTTGTGATGTGGGTTGCTGTAATTATGATATTTTCTTGTAATCAGCTGGAGTATTTGATTGACACTGTTTCAAATATTGATCAAAACATAATAATGGCTAACTGATAATAAAATGTTTTTTTTTCTTTGCACATCACAAGTACTTCACAAACACATTCTGTCCCTTGCGAAGCAAGGAATACCTTTCTAGTTTATATTAAGTATTAGTATTTCTAATTTTATTTTTGAATGTATGATTTGTGAGTAATTGTACATGATAAACAATTATTAGGATTTATAATTTTTTTTTTCTAATTCAATTTGAATAACGATCGGAGTTATTTCTAGACCCACTGTAATTGTTTTTTTTTATTATTAGGATAATCGTTTTTTTTTTCTTTCTAGACCCACTGTAATCCTCAACATTTGGCGCCAACGTCGTCCAATACGCTGCGGCTTTAGCCTCCGCAGAACCACCATTATCCACCGCCACCGTTGCCGACACACTCCTCTTAACCTCTTTCACCGAAAACGCACTATACTCTTCTAAAACCCGATCGAACTCCTCTAACTCTTTCTCCAGACCTTTACTTGAAATCGTTAGCCCGTAATTTAACAAACTCTCATATTCGAAATCCGAATCGTTTCCAGGTCGGATTGCGGGAAGCAGGCTTAAGAGCGGTGGTTTTGGTGTTCTTGCTGAAACAAGCACCCAGAGAGAGAGATAGATAGAGAGAGAGGGTGGGACCCTTTAATATTAAATAATTAGTTTTTTTTAAAAAATAAGACAAATCTTTTTCATAAATGGTCCCTGTGGCAGTGAAATGACAGAAATACCCTTCACTTAACGGGCAAAAGCTAACGGAGTTAACGAAAAGGACTATTTGTTAAAAGTTTTGAAACCACAGGACCATCTGTGAGGTTTTTTGAACTTAGAGACTAAACTTGATATTTTTGAAACCACAGGGACCATTTTTGAAGTTTTGTCTATAACATATTTAATTAGTTAAAGAAAAATCATAGGGTCGAATCGGATTTAACCCGTTTATTAAACAGAAGGTTATATAAATGAACAATGGTCAAACCCGATTCAACTCCGTAGACGTAAAGATTCTCCCGTTTTAGAATTAGGTTGAGCGACGGCAGTACAGGCGGAGGGCGACAGGACGAGTCTTTGACAACGGTGAGATTGGGAAGGGGCGCAGCGTCAGGCGCTGCCACGGTGGGCGAATGAGAAGCCGCAGGCTGTAGTCTACTCCTCTTTTACTGATTTTCTTCTGTATGCACCTCCCCTTTTTTCATTCTAGTTTGCTGGAGTCTATCTCCCTTGTTACGGTGGTTTATTTGTGTTATAATAGTTTCTTTTCATTTCCGGGTCGGATTATGTATTTGATGTTCTTTTAGAAAGAACTCGACATTTTTAAATTTGCTTAGGGTTATAGTTGTCTAACTATCGGCGTGTAAGCCATGCATCGTAGTATCATACCATATAATTTAATGAGCAATTGTATAATGCATGAGTTGCGATTATGATAACTTAAAAGGGTGTTTGTGATTGTTTTTTAAAGTGAGTTATTAACTTATTGATTTTTTATAAAGCTAACAAGTTAAAAAGTTGTTTTTGATAAACATCAACACTTTAGATAAAATTAGGCAAAAAAGTGATTTTTCCAAAAAGTCATGACTTTTTGGAAAAGTTAATAAGTTTGATTTAAAAGTTTACCCAAACAGGCTCCTAGTTTTGGAAATCATGTAATGTATTTTAGATATTAAAACTGTTATTATGTTTAGAATTAATGTTCCGTTGAAGTTTTGTAGAGCTCAATGACCGTGGGAAAAAATGGTAGAAGTTTTGTTGAGTTCAATGATTGTTGGAAAAATGTTTGAGTTGTATGGATAGTAGAATAATGATATGACAATCTATTAAACTCAATAGATATGGGAATTAGGGCTCTAGTATTCACATAGAGCATACTGAGGATATCTAGTACTACTGAGCATGATCATGTTAATTTCAATTGATATATTTGTCTTCTATTTTTATTAGTTGACTTTTCCTCTTACGTGGCCTTTTTTGAGCAACCAATTCCTATTTGTTTGATGCAAGGATTTATATTTCTCTTGGATGTTGCGATAGATATGTATAGCTATTGGCTGATATTGAGAATGAATGTTACGCAAATCTCTTTTCTTTTTTCCTTCTTAAATTCCACTTTTCAATCGTGTGTAGGTCAGACTTCAAGGAAATGGTGGAAGTGCAACCCCAAAGTTTGGATAGAATCAGCACTCTTCCTCAAGACACAATTGAAAAAATTATGACTCTTTTGCCCATCCAAGATGCACTGAGGACGAGCGTTTTGTCAAAGAAATGGAGGCATTGCTGGAAGGGAATGCCTAAACTTGTATTTGATGACAAGTACTTGAATACCTCATCAAATAGCAAAGAAATTAACAAATATAAGTTTGTCAATGCCATCTTCCATGTTTTGATGCTACACAATGGTCCAGTATTAGAATTCAGTATCTCTATTAATATTGATACAGAAATTGATGATGAGATTGACCAAATAATACTCCATCTTTCAAAGAGCAAAAATATCAAGAAATTCATCTGTAAGTTTCGGTCAAATGAACTCTTCAAATTTTACTTTTCCAAGCGCTACAAGCTACCCTCTGTGTTCTTTTCATTACATGGGCTAGAACACCTACATCTCACACATTGTGTTATTGAGCTTCCATTAACATTTGATGGATTCATTACCTTGAGGAGTCTCGAGTTATGCAATGTCAACATCACTGCGAAGATGCTTCAACAATTACTTACCAATTGCCCATTACTTGAGAAATTTATACTGGTAAGTCCCATATAATCATTTATGAAAGCGCCTTCAGTTAAAACCTTCTTACAAAGTATATGGATGCAGATTGGACATCAAAAAGGCTTTATTACACTAGGAAACAAGTGCAGATTTCTTGAGCTATCCAAGTGTTTACCTTCGGTTCAGGTTCTGAAAATCTCTAAGTCTTATATCAAGGTAATACTTAACTTGATGGTTTTATCTCATGCAAGAATATTGTCTTTTTAATTCTAGTCTTGGTATTTGGTTAAAGCAGTTTACTGAAGGCAGTAGTATGCAGAAACCCCCCACTTTACTAGTCCACTTGAGGATACTTTTTCTTGATGTGTGTTTTCTGAAACAACATGAGCTTTCCGATGCTCTCAGTTTGATCAACAGCTCCCCAAATTTGGAGAAGATAAAAATAGAGGTAGATATAAACTACACACACTCACATACTTTGAAAATAATAGATATACAATTCTGTTGAAAAATCGTACATGTTTTTTGATCAGCTGTGTTGGAACCATAAGCTGTGTGGTGAAGAAACTTGCAAGGACTTGCTTGATCTTCAAGACTACTATTTGGGAATGAACTTGGATCATCTTGATGAACTTGAGATAACAAGTTTCCATAACCATGCTTCAGAGATGGAGTTTGTGAAACTCATCATGGCTAAGTCACCTCTGCTTAAGAAAGCACGAATAAAGCTCAGTTCATCTGTTTCTGTTGACGAAGAAAATAAGATGCTTCGAGATTTGCTGCGATTAACATTTCCACGTGCATCATCAGCAGTGGATATCATTGTTGAACGTTAAACAATTATATGTCGATGCAAAATACCTGTTATGCATTTAGCTACTTTTTTTTAATAATATTATTATATATATTATATATATATATAGATATATATAATATATATATATATATATATATATATATATATATATGGAAAAGTGAATATACCCTTAAATGTATATAAACTTAGATACCAAATGCTTAAAACTACGTAGTTTTGATTGGTGGTTTAATTTTATTGAAAAAAAAATAACAATTTCCTTAAACACTATTGTTTCCTTATTGAAAAAAAAATAACAACTAAAGTCGATCCCTCTTGATTTTCTGCTTCCGTAATCGCCTGCTTCCTTTAGCCGGTTGTGAATTTTTTTTTCCATACTATCGGTAGTAGCCATCATTCTTGCATCACAGGTTCGTTCCAATTCATTCATTATCTTTTTCTTTATTATAAAATTCCATTCATTGTTAATTAGTTATTGTTATCAATTTGAGTATTTAAGTTCTTGAATATAATATTCTTCAATTCTCTCACTACAAGAAAATCACCCTTTAGCAGCGACGCTATTACCGGCGACGGAGGTCTTTAGCGGCGACACGAGAGATTGTCGCCGCTAAAAGCCCCTGTCGCCGGTAATAGCGTCGCCGCTGTCGCCGGTAATAGCGTCGCCGCTAAAGGATGATCACCCGAATCCGCGTTTTCCCCTTCCGTTATATCTACACCGTCCGATCAAATATCCAATCCAACGGTTGGGGTCACTTTATCCGAACTAACCTAATACCGGCAACATATGTGTCGCCGCTAAAGGTTGAAATTGTCGCCGCTAATACTTCACTAAAAAATGACGCGGTACCCTTCCTTCCAGATTGTCGCCGCAATTGATAAGTGTCGCCGGTAAAACCCTATTAGTCGCCGCTAAAGGCGTCGCCGGTAAAGCCTGTCGCAGATAAAAAAAAAAAAAAACGCACGCAGCAGACTTTATTCTTCCATTCTGCTTTCTGTTTACCCTTCACCCCTTCCAGCTTCTTCCGAGTTCATCTTCAATTTGCTTGTTCCATCCCGATTTCTCCCCACATTGTGTCATATTAAGGATATTAAGGATGAAGATGTGATTTGGGACCGATTTCTAACTCAATTTCTTGAAGAAAGGTAATTTGATTTGATAATTTCCTTGTTAATTTGGTTGGTGTGAGAGAGCCGATGGATCGATAAAAACACCAAGGGTAAGAAAGTACCTCATAAGGTGTTACGGTACTTTCCTGTGACCCCTAGACTACGACGTTTATATTGTTCGAGGCACACTGCCAAAAATATGATTTGGCATAGTATCGGACGTTCAGAAGATGGTGTGATGCTTCATCCTGTTGATGGGGAACATTGGCAAGATTTTGATAAAAAAAATACCCCGACTTCTCGAGTGAACCCCGTAACGTACGCCTAGGTCTTTCAGCTGACGGTTTCAATCCATTTGGAAACATGTGTAATGCACATAGCACATGGCCGGTCATACTCACCACATACAATCTGCCACCTGGCTTTGTATGAAAGAGTCATCATTCATGTTGACTTTGTTGATTCCCGGCCTGAAAGCTCCTGGTAAGGATATGGATGTTTTCCTTAGGCCGTTGGTGGAAGAGCTTAAAGATTTGTGGCACTCAGGCGTACGTATTAAAGATGCGGCGACAAACACATTCTTCACGATGAGAGCTATGTTGTTGTGGACAATAAACGACTGGCCAGCTCGTAGTAGTCTATCAGGTTGGAGTGGGCAAGGGTATAAAGCATGTGCTACTTGCAATGAAGACACTCCTTCGTACCGTGCAACAAACAAAGTCGTATATATCGGTCATCGTCATTTCCTAGATGCTAATGATCCGTTAAGAAAGAGGTTGGACTTTAACGGGATGGAAGAGACAAGACCCGCCCCGAGATACTTTAGTAATGACTACATACAAGAGCAACTAGGTCGTCTACTAACTCGTAAACCGGGTAAACATCCTGAGCATGGAGGCGGGGAGCCAGTTAGAAGAGATTATAGAGTTGAGGTATACACATGATTATTCAACTGTACTATTTCGTTGCAAGTGGTTTGATACTCGAACATGAGTTATTACTAGTGATAATTTCACCAGTATCGATACACGACGCGAAGCATACAAAGATGATCAACTCATATATGCTTCACAAGCCAAACAAGTGTTCTACATCAGAGAGTCAAACAGTAACCATCGGTGTGTTGTCGAGCATGTTAACCATCGAAGTATTTGGGATCTACCATCAAACGATGATCGTGTCCAAAATGATGATAATGGCTCACACGAAAATGTAGACAATGTAGATGTACTTCAAAATATATCTTCATCCGATGCTCCACTTTTTATCGATTTCAGCATGTACTTTCAAAACATTCCTAGAGTCATTGTTGATGTAGAAAGTGCAACTGAAGTTCCTCCGCCAACCGGAATAGTCAATGATGTTTCTGATTGCGAGACTGATTACGATGAGACCGATTCTGATTATGATACCGAAGAAGACACTGAAGGATATGAGGAAGATTCTGATTAGAATAGTTCTTATGTAATACGTGTTTGTAATATGAACTTTATTTGGATTTCTTGTTTAAATAGAAATGTTTAGTCCTATGTAAATGTTTATTTCTATGTAATGTGTATTTGTAATAAAAAATTATATTTGTATATTATTATTTTTTCAGGAAACGATGACAATATGGTTTTGTTTATGTATACCATGGCTGTTGTTATGGGTCGTGGACACGGAGGTGATGGAGCTGAGGACCCACCTCTCCCAGGTGGTAGAGGTGTTGGTCATCACGAGCAGGACGGTAAGTCTTATTATGAATTTTTATTTACTAATTTTGTTCAGTTATTATAAATTAAATACCGTTTCTAATATTTTTAATTACATTTTGTAGTTGAGCAACTGCACGAAGGAAAGTTTGAGGCAAAGCGAAAAATATAAAGCTTGAAAAAGCGATCTTACGGAACAAGGGCAAACCGATTACCATGGAATATGATAGGGATATCACATTTGATCCCGTAGGAGAGCCGAAAGACATGTTTTCCCGAGAAGTTGAAAAACAATGTGGCAGATGGTCCCATTTGATAAATGGACTTGGAAAAAAAAGTTTCCCCTGCAATACAGGACACCGTATTACAACATTTAGCGGTAATAATTTATTTAAATATATTTTATTATGGTTAACTATAATGTTTTTTACTTGGTTAATTTTTTTTTGTAGACAAAGTTTGATTTGGATCAGATGTACCGGGATGTACAAGCAATTTGTTGACAGAGAGTTTTCAAGTAGCTTTGTTAAAAGGTTATCGAGAACGTAAAGCTGACGCAAAAGAATATTTTTATGTCATTCGGAGGGTATGAAGATATCCCGGGAGCATTAGCCAACCCTCCAGAGGGTATGGAAGTTGATAACTGGATGAAAGCAGTTGAGTATTTCCAAACAGACGAACACAGTATTGCTTCAGAAAGGAACAAAAAAATTCGTGAAATGCAAACAAATGTGAATCATGGGGGGTCGAGCTCGTATAGCAGTACTTGCTATAAGAAGGTAACGTACGATACATGTAATTATTTATTTAAAATATAATCTAATTTTTAAAGTTAAACAGAACCTGAAGAGAGTGGAAACGTTTCGCAAAGCTCATACCGATAAGAATGATGTATTTGTTACTGCTGAGGCGGAACAACAATATGTAAGTATTTAATTATAATTTTATCATATAATTAAATGTTTATTTATACTTAATTGTTACTCACTTTTGGGAGTTACAGAATCGGTTAGTTGAAGAGCTGTTAGAACAAACTCAAGGTGAAAGTCAGTTAACACCCGCTCAAAGAAGAACTGCGTTGAGAAAGTATTAGGAGAGCGACGTGGCCATATTAGAGGCATTAGCCCTAAACCTCTGCTCTCCCGCCGATTCCACAGCCTTCGCAACCATCACCACAACCATCACAGGTAAAACAATCTACTTTGGTAATTTTGGTTTTGTGGTGATTATTTGCTAAAAAGTTTGGTAATTAGGTTTTTGTCCCAAGTGCAAAAAATAACAACGTACTTTGGTTTTTTTGTCTTAGTTTAAAAATAGCAATCTACTTTATCATCGTAAAATGCATGTTGATTTGGTAATTTGGTTTTGTGGTGATTATTTGCTAAAAAGTTTTGTAATTAGGTTTTTGTCCCAAGTGCAAAAATAACAACGTACTTTGGTTTTTTGTCTTAGTTTAAAAATAACTATGTATTTTCATAGTTTTTGTTTATTTTTGATAATTTAACTTATAAGTTTGTATATGTTGTTATTAATTATGTAGTTGGGGAAAATCTCCGCGCGATGCTGAATGACCCGACATGTAGGGATGAGCTGTATTCGTTTTTTCAATCCCAAAATAATCGAGGAAACGATGGGAATGAAGATGATGGTATATAGGCCAGGATGAGTTTTATTTGCATAGGTTATCACGCTTTGCTACTTGGTAGATTGTAAAACTTTGGTTGTTTTTTGTAATTGCCGGCGACACTAATACCGGGCGACATTATTACTTTTTTATTTAATCGGCTATTATGACTTTTGATATTTAATTAATTATAATCGGATGTTTGTTTTGTAATTAGCATCGACACTATTATTTTTGATATTTAATCGAATGTTGCTATGTAATTACCAAGTACATTATTAACGGCAACCAAAACCGTTAATTACAGAAACAAATTTAAAAAAATGAAAATCGTAATTACCGGCGACAGGGTTATTACCGGCGACACATATCATTAGCGGCGACATCTATCATTAGCGGCGACATGTTCATCAATAGCGACGAAGTAGTACGGCGACTTATTACCGGCGACGCGTCGCCGCTATTATCATTACCGGCGACATCTTGGCTTATTACCGGCGACTTTTGTCGCCGCTAATGATCATTTTCCTTGTAGTGTCTCGCATGGACTATTCATCCAATATATTGCAGGTGTTTTTTTTTATTCTTTTGTTAGTTACATAACTTGTTAT